TGGCGGTCATAGGAACCCTATGCAGGCATCCTGAAAACCATTAAGAGCCTAGAGATTGTGACCAGCACTTTGAATTCTATTGCTTCTGCATGTCTGGTTTTTTTAATTACATATCCTGACATATGAGCCATTAGTCTTCATATTTTCCAATTTCCTTTCCATGGAAAGAGTCAAAAAGAGTATTTCTGTGGTGGGTTTAAAGCAGTCCACTCTACTCCATCATCTCAGCTTCATGTCTTACCTGTAAGAGTTTGCTAGATGGCTGCTGATGCTTCTCCTCCATTTCCTCAATGAGACTGTCAAGAGAGGAGAGTTCCTCCACTTGTTTGGCCAGACACTCGTCCCTTCTTGCCACAATCTCCTTCTCCGTCTCTTCCATTCTGGCCAGCAGAAGCTTCTCCTGTTCTTCCAACCAGCGTTGTAGTTCTCTGAACTCAGCCACTGTGTTTTCTCTCTCTCTTTTGATCAGGTCCTAGAAGAAGATAGGAAAGGCAAAGGTCATAACTATTATGACAATTAAATAGATTCACTGAATAGTCCAGAATTGATAGGGAGAATTTCTTACGAAGAACACCCCTTTTGACTTTTCAACCGTTTTGACATCAACAAGAGCAGGGGGAAAGGTTTCTAAAAACCAAAATAAGGGTCGATTTTGAAGTGATCTTTCATGAACGTTTCAAATGTAGGTGGAAAGAAAGTTTCAGTTCACATTTTTCAGCAAAGTGAAATACGGTTTGCATTAATATATTCTGCAAAGCAACCACTGTTTTATAACCCTAACCCTAACCCTAACCCTAACCCTAACCCTAACCCTAACCCTAACCCTAACCATGCTTTATGTGATATGTGCACTTAACCCAATTGTGACTCATTCAGCCAATTGTGAGAAATAATCCATGGGACATCCCACTCAAAGATGCATTCTTTCATCTTCTGAAACGGGCCCAGGATGGGTTTACTTCTTAGGAAAAGCATTACTGACAAACAGACCACGCCTATTAGCCAAGAAGCTCATCACCATTGGATCAATACTTACAAGCATCTCC